CTTTGATCTTCAAAAATTTCAGTGTAATGTCAATTGCTATCTTCTGTCTTCTTAATTCCAGTTCTTTTATTGTTCGTGCTCCTTAATAGTATTTCTTTCTTTTTTTTAACATGCTCTCTAACACTCAGCAAAGATCACACACACACACACACACACACACACACACACACACACACACACACACACACACACACACACACACACACACACACACACACACACACACACACAAAAAAAAAAAAAAAAAAAAAAAAAAGCATCTCGGCTTGAGTGCCTTCTCCACCGCCGAAATATATTGCCATGTGCCTTTTCTAGAAATACTTTCATGGTAATTGTTTTGTTGAAATTTTCTCTATGAAACCTAGATTTTATGAATTTAAGCGCAATACCAGTTTGGCATGAAAGGTCTCACCATTTTACAGATGAAACGGTTAATTTCAACCGCAAGTTCTATGCTAACAGCTTCTTTCGTCGTATTTCTCGCTTGTAGAACTCTCTCGTTATATTCTATTGTATTAATGCTTTTTCTTTTATTGTCCTCCTATCCTGGATATAACGATAAACTGCATCCCCGTCCTGGGTATGACGATAAACTACATCCGCGTCCTGGGTATGACGATAAACTACATCCGCGTCTTGCGTATGACGATAAACTACCTCCAACTTCAAGGCTTCTGATCAGGAGGCTTTGAGGAGCGTGGTACCACCTCTTAATTGCTGGTGTTCCCAGGTCCACCATTACCCGGGGTGGTAGCATCTGTTAGGGTCCCAACTATGGGTAAATAGTTAACCCCCAAACTAGGGTCAAAACACTATGAAAGTGTAAAAATAGGTTTTAATACCAGAAATACTTTGTAAAACATATTACCAGCAATACATTTTTGAAGAAAAAAGTATTACTAGGATGTATTACCAGGAATACCTTTTTTAAATAAAAATTAAAAAAAAAAAATATTACCAGCTACACATCTTTAAAAAAATACCAGTTATACATTTTTTGAAAAAAAATATTACCAGCGATACATTTTTGAAGAAAAAATATTACCAGAAATTGATTTTTGATGGAAAAAATATTACCAGCATTACTTTTATGAAGAAATACATTACCAACGATAAAAATTGTCGGCATTAAATAATCCATTGTGGTTGATATGCTGTAAAACAAACCAAACCAAACCAAACAAACCAATCTATTGTACACCCTCCTTAAAAAATAATTTCTATTTCTCCCATTCTCTCACTTTCCTGTGTTCTATGAATATTTTCATGGTAATCGTTCTGATGAGTTTTGCTCTTTAGTATCTCGACTTTACGAATATAAGCGCAGCACTCGATTGGCAGGTTGGTCTCATCGTTTTACATTTGAAATTTCTAGATCGAGTCATGAGTTCAATGTTACCAGTTTCATCTCACACATTTCTCACTTGTAGAATTCTCTTCTCGCTTCCTGGTTGCCAGTCAACTTTGATCTTTTAAATTCAAAGTCAATCGTTTCTTCAGTATTCTTAATTCTTGTTCCTTCATAAGAAATAGCAGGTCCAACAATTCTTTGTAATCTTTTAAATCCTTCATAAGAAAAAGGCGAACAATTCGTAACCTTTTCTTCAGTATTCTTAATTCTTGTTCCTTCATAAGAAATAGCAGGTCCAACAATTCTTTGTAACCCTTTCTTCAGTCTTCTTAATTCTTGATCCTTCATAAGAAATAGCAGGGCCAACAATTCTTTGTAACCTTTTCTTCAGTCTTCTTAATTCTTGTTCCTTCATAAGAAATAGCAGGTCCAACAATAACGTAATGGTAAGAGGCGCCAACTTGACAATGCCTATACTGAATGTGCCACTTGATTGTTAACATTGCTTCGACGTCCTTCAAATATACAAACGTAAAATGATTTGTTTTGATTTTTTGCCTTTTGTGAGGATATTGCTTTGTATAGCTGTTTTCCCCATAGAACGTATAGACATTTCCCAAGCGACGTAATAAATTATTTTGTCAATATTTCAGCAACAATAATGATTGATACTTGTTAAGAGAGAGAGAGAGAGAGAGAAAGAGAGAGAGAGAGAGGAGAGAGAGTGTGAGAGAGAAGGAGAGAGAGAAAGAAAAAGAGAGAAGGATAGATAGAGTAAAATTGAGAAAAGTTGATACTCACGACACAGGATGAAAAACAAAATGACAAATTCATCTTTTATAACGTGTTGTGTGAAATGTTTTACAGCTAAAAACTGAACAATTTCAGTTCATGAATTGTTAGACTACTCACTATTTTTGGTGATAAAAACATAATGAGTGAAATGAAGAAAGAAAATGAAAAGGTAAAAAAAAGAGTAAAGGAAAGAGGAATAGAGAAAGAACGAAAGTTAAGGAGAGAGCAAGAAAAAAAATGAAAGTTAGTGAACGAAAAAAAAAGAAAGAAAGAAAATGGAAAGATAGAGAAAAGAATAAAGAAAAAGGGAATAGAGAAACAAAGAAGAAAGATAGGGAGAGAGCAAAAAAGAAAATGAAAGATAGTGAAAGAAAGAAAGAAAAAAGAAATGAAAAAAAGAGGAAAGAAAAAAAGAATAGAGAAAGAAAGATAGGGAGAGAGCAAGAAAGAAAATAAAAGATAGTGAATGAAAGAAAGAAAGAAAGAAAAAAGAAAGATGAAAAAAAGTAAAGAAAAAGGAATAGAGAAAGAAAGATAACGAGAGAGCAAGAAAAAAACGAAAGATAGAGAAAGAAAGAAAGAAAGAATAAGATAAGTAGCAAGAGAGAAAGAAAGAAAGAAAGAAAGAATAAGATAAGTAGCAAGAGAGAAAGAAATGAAAAGCAAGAAAAAATTAAAAGATAAAGAAGGTGAGAAAAATAAAAAAAGGAGAAAGAGAATGTGAGCCATAGACAAAAAGACAAATAATATCACGGTAAACAAAGAAAAAGAGAAAGAAAGAAAAACATAGCGAGAGAAGACTGAGGAAAAATGACAGGGAGAGGAAAGAATGAAAAACAGCAACATAAAAGAGAGAGAGAGAGAGAGAGAGAGAGAGAGAGAGAGAGAGAAATACGAAAGAGATGAGCCAAAAATAAAGAAGAGATGGTGAGAGAAAGAAAGAAAGAAATAGCGAGAGAAAAATGAAAAATGAAGGAAAGAAAACGAAAACAACGTAAAGAGACAAAGGACGTGTGAAAGGAAAAAAAAAGAAAGAATGAAAACTAGAAAAAAATAAGAGAAAGAGACGGAGAAATACAAAGAGAACAATGTAAAAAAGAATAGTAAAAAAGATGGAACATGTGAAAGGACAGAAAGAGAAAGTAAGAGAAAAAAGGAGAACGAAAGCTTGACAGAAAGAAGAAATAAAGTGTGAGAAGAAAGAATGCTATATTATGATGCCGAAATTGATATTGCAGACCATCAAAGCAGACAGGTGAAGTAGGGGTTAACTAGTGGCCAATTCCAAGCCGCTGAATGGATAACCACTTCTCCTCACGTATCTAGTCTTGCAAGTTTGAGAAAGGTCTGAAATACACACGGTTATATAACCATACAAATCCATTGTGGAATTGGGCAGTCTTTCACACATCCCAGATAATATGTAAGGTCCACGTATCGGATGAGGGTTGACGGGGCTGTTTCACACGCACGTACGTATGCACACTAACTGAAAGTTACTGACGTTATATTTGAGCATATATATATATATATATATATATATATATATATATATATACAAATACAAATAAATAATCACACATAGAATCAATCAGCAATATTAATACTATTATTGTATATAAATAATATGCTGCCTAATGTTTTATGTTTATATATATATATATGTGTGTGTGTGCGCGTGTATATATATATATATATATATAGGAATAAGTCAAATTTTCTGTTATCCTGAGTATGTATATGTAATCATTTTTCCGGCACACCTACTATCAAAGGGAAAGAGATTAAGAAGAAATTGGGAAAGAAAAGAGAGAAAGTGAAAAAGAGAGAGAGTAAGCGAGAGGAACATAGAGAGAATGTTAGGAGAGGGAAGAGAGAAACAGAAAGAAAATGAGAAAGAAAAAAAGAGGGAAATGAAAACGGGAAATAAGAGAGAGAGAGAGAGAAAGAAAAAAGAAAAAGGGGACAAGAGAAAGAGAGAGAGAGAGAGAGAGAAAATGAGCAAAATATAAAGAGAGAGAAATATAAAAGAAGAATAAAAGACAAATAGAAGGAAAGACAAACACAAGCAGGAATAGGAAGGACGAAAGGAATCAAGAAGAAAAAACTGAAACGAAAGAAAGATAAAAAGCGCGAAGAGGGGAAAGAAAGATTAAAAAGAAAAGAGAAAAGTAATGATAGAACAAAAAGATGGAAACTGAAATTAAAAGAGAGAGCGACTATGAAAGGAAGTAAAAAAAAGGCGAGAGCGACATAGATAAAAAAAAAGAAGGAATATCCCCCCCCCAAACAAAAACATTAAAAAACAAGGGTGAAATAAAAGCAGAAACTTCTGGATTGATTGGGATAGAAAGAACGAGAGAAGAATGGCAGAGAATTGGTAAACAAATCAAGAGGAAGCAGTTGAAAGCAAGAGATCCAGAAACTTACACAGGCTAAGCAAACGCGATTAAATCCCTAACCTATATAAATAAATGCGAATATCAGTGTGTCACTCTTTTCAACGTTACTCCAAATATACCATTTTGAAGTCAGACCAACTCCGTGAACAAATTAAAAACATTCCGCAGTCGGTAAATTTATGATTCCCAGTTTTCATTACTGTGATTGCTTTCGGATTCCGCCATTTTGGCTTCTACTTATAAAAACAATTAAAGTGACACAACATTCTAACTTTCAATAGTTCATGTTCAAATGAAAAAAGATACTGTTCGCAAATTACAGTGTTTCAAAATAAAAATCAATTTTACTCCTAAAGGCCGTAGCCCAACATATCATACCAATTTGAAATCTGGTCGACTCCATGACCAAATTAAAAATATTGCGGGTAAGATCCGGACCAGCAGTCCAGAAATTTGTCTTCCCTTGATTTCATTACTGCGATTGCCTTCGGATTCCGTCATATTGGCTTTTACTGATAAAAACAATTAAAGAGACACTACACTATAACTTTCAATAGCTCATGTTCAAATGAAAAAAAAAAACTTAGCGTTCTCATATTACAAAATAAAATTGTTCATGTTTTCAAATTTACGAGGACGTGGGCCGACATATCAACCATTTTGTAATCAGGTCGAATCCCTGAGCAACTGAAAACATTCCAGAACACAATCCTGAAATTTACTATGTTTTCATCACTAGGATTTTTTTCGGCGATTTTTGACGTAATTTTTTTTGTGGCGAATTTTTTGAATGATAATAATTTTTATAATTTGGAAATAAATTTGAAAATAATCGAAATTGGGAAACCCGGCGAATGTCACCTATGAAATAAAAATAATTGTTTGTACGGAAAGTAAGGACCTACGCACATCAAATTGTCTTTAAATTAAGAGGCAGTAGAAGAATTATCATTAAATTTTTAAAAGGTAAGCTTAAATATTAATGCAATACTTAAATGCAGCGATCTATTTTGAGTTCTTCTGTAGTTTATTGTTTCCTATCGCATACGACAGCAGTTTGCCTTGCAAAAAGAAATCTTCGCCAACAGAGAACCAGATATCAGTCAAAAGAACCAAGACCGCAGCGAGGAAAAGTCCCGTGGAAATGAGACCCCAGATCAAACAGCAGCCAGAGGAGCTTCCAATGCTGAGAATATGCAAAGACTTAGGGACTCTTAAACTCCTAAACAAGCCGAAAGCCCAATCAAAACCACCTCCGCAGGAGCTTGCTTAAATAACGGCCTATAGGGGGGGCTTTTAAGGTAGTATGGTATATAATTGTTTATTCACCCTGACTTTTTAAAATTAATTTTGGAGGATGGGTGTGTGTCTTTGGGAGTTTTCTCCAAATTTGGATCTCTTCTTGATACATACGAAATGCACTCGCTCTTTTCGTTTTTGATGGGGTCATTATATACCTCCTTGTCATATGGTTGTCCATCTTGTATACATCCTAAATGTAGCTGGGTTAACCATATGGTTATATGTTTCATCGTCGTTACATTCCTTTTGTTGCTTAGAAAGTAAAAAAGAAATATATAAAATCAGTAAACTGCTGAACAAGATTTGATGGTTCAATTCCTCTAAGGACAAGCTATACCGAAATAGCCATATGACGTATTTATTTATCAACATTAGTAGTCAAATTAATAACATCGTTGCTGAAATTTGTTCACTCTCAACAAATGTCCGAGAACCATTTTAGGTAGAGGGTTACAGAGTAAGAGGCACATTTTTTTTGTGGGAGTTAAACCAGCATTTGAACCGTTTAAGATTGTAGTAATCGGAGAAGTATCCTCCCGGGAGTCGTTTCCACAACGCAGTGGTTCGTGGGAAAACTGCTGCTCTAGTGGATCTTGCATTTCACCAATGGAAAACCAGGGGATGACGGTGGTTCGATACAATGTGCTTAGCATAACGAGTCTTAACCCTGAAGACAATTGATTCCTTTATCACTACGTTTTGTTTTGAAGCGGATTGTCTTGGTTTTCGATAAATTACATCCGCGTCCAGGGTAAGACGATAAACTACGTCCAACAGCAAGGCTTATGATCAGGAGGCGTTGAGGAGCGTGGAACCACCTCTTAATTGTTGGTGTTCCCAGGTCCACCCTGAGGTTGTTTTGTATTTTTTTATTTCGCTGAGAGCTACTTTCAGCGGCCAATGAACAAACACAGAGGTTGATAAATAGTCACCAATCTGAGAAAATGATTGCCCATGCGACTTATTAATAGAATTACATAGATTATGACACGAAAGATATAAATAAATAAATACACAACGATAATTATTATATAATCTGCTTCTTTTATCTATCAATTAAGTGTAATGTTGACTAAGTGAAATCCATAATTTTATCCAGGTTCGAAGTTCATCATTATATATACTTTTAAATGATTACTGGTTGAGAGAAGTTTCCTTTACAAAATTTATTTATTTTTTATAAAGATTTTTATTAAAAGAATTCTATCTTTGTTTGTTGTACATCTTGATTGTGAAGAGCTGAAAGATAAAGCAAAGAGGTTAGATCGACTCAAAATCCAGCGCATGATGTCTCATAAAGGCGGGAATTCATAAGTAGAGAATTACAAAAACTAATAACTTTTAATGGCGATGAATTTTTGTTTTTGTAGAAAGCTTTCTCAAATGGACAAATTTATGAGATTGAAGGAGATTATCATTGCTTCCAAAATTTTCATTCTTTTTTTTTTACTATTCCACTCACTCTTGGTCCTTTGATTTTCATTTTTTAAAACTTGTTTTTATTCTTATTTTAATCTCTTTTCACAGTCCCCCATTCTTTCTTTCTTTCTTTCTTTTTTTTCTTCAATTTATTCTTAGATATATTCTTCATGTTTTCTTTCTTTTATCTCTTTTCCCAGTCCCCCATTTATTCTTTCTTTCTTTCTTTCTTTCTTTCTTTCTTTCTTTCTTTCTTTCTTTCTTCAATTCATTCTTAGATATATTCTTCATACTTTCTTCCTTTTATCTCTTTTCCCAGTCCCCCATTTATTCTTTCTTTCTTTCTTTCTTTCTTTCTTTCTTTCTTTCTTTCTTTCTTTCTTTCTTAGATATATTCTTCATGCTTTCTTTCTTTTATCTCTTTTCCCAGTCCCCCATTTATTCTTTCTTTCTTTCTTTCTTTCTTTCTTTCTTTCTTTCTTTCTTTCTTTCTTTCTTCAATTTATTCTTAGATATATTCTTCATGCTTTCTTCCTTTTATCATATAAGCAATATGATAAAAAGGAAGCTTTCTTTCTTTCTTTCTTCCTTTCTTTCTTATATTGTCTATACTTTCTTTTTATCATATTCCTTATACTTTCTTTCTTTCTTTCCTTCTTTCTTTCTGTTCCTTGGGATTTCATTCTTTTCCATGTTCTTATATTTCTTAGGCTTTCTTTCTTCATTTCTTTCTTTTCTTCTTTCATTCTTCTTAGATATATTTTCCATACTTTTCTTCCTTTTTATCATGTTCTTTATTCTTTCTTTCGTATATTATTTCTTTTTTCTCAACTTTCTTTTATTTTTTATGTTTTTTTTTCCCAGTATCCCACGTAATTTCTATATTTCTTCCTTATCATTTCCTGTTTTTCTAATATGGCTTATCATTTTTTTCTTCTTTACTTTTATTGTTTCTTTATTTCTTTCTTTTTTCTATCATTCTTTTTTTAGCAATTATACTTTCTTTCTTTTATTCTTTCTTCCTTCCTATCATCTTTCTTTTCTTTTCTCTTTCTTTCTTGTATTAGAATTTCTTTTTTTTTTCCCCAATATATCTTAGGATTTCTTTTTTTCTTTACTTCTTTCTTTCTTTCTTATTTGCTTGCTTATATTATATCTTTCCCTCTTTGCTTATATTCATTCTTTCTTATTTCTTTCTTGCTCGCTTATATTCTATCTTTCTTTCTTTTTCTTTTTTCTTTCTTTCTTATTTGCTTGTTTATATAATTTTTTTCTTTCTTTCTTTCTTTCTTCTTGGCTTGCTTATATTATTTCTTTCTTTTTTGTTTACTTATATTCTTTCTTTCTTTTTCTTTTTTCTTTCTTATTTGTTTGCTTATATTATTTCTTTCTTATTTCTTTCTTATTTGCTTATATTCTTTCTTTCGTCCTTGCGTATATATTCTTTCTTTCTTCTTGGTTTGCTTATATTCTTTCTTTCTTTTTTTGCTTGCTTTTTTCTTTCTTTACTTATATTCTTTCTTTCTTTTTTCTTATTTACCTTATGCTTTTTTTCTTTCTTATATATCTTATGGTTTCTTTTTTTCCTTTTTATTTTCTTTATCTTTCTTCTATGTATTCATTTCTTCCTTCATATTTATTCATTGCTTTTCCTCAGGTTTCAAGAATTTTCGTCTTATTGTTTTTCTCGTCAGTTTTCTTTCTTTCTTTCTTTCTTTCTTTCTTTCTTTCTTTCTTTCTTTCTTTCTTTCTTTCGTTCGTTCACTCGTCGCTATGTTTTTCCATTGGTTCCTCTCTTCCGACGACTCATGTGTTTATATTTTCTACCATGCCCCACTCTCTTTCTTATTTATTACTTCCCTTATTTACACCCCTTCCCTTTCTTCCCTTCCGTGTCTGTGCTTAAAGAAGTCTAATCATTATTTTGGTACCTTATCTTCTTTTAAATCCCAACGCGTGATCACTATCAATACCGGCCGAACACATTAATACACTTTACTTTCAGGAAGTTGCAACATATAAACATAAGAGAGCCTAAAACAGACCATTTTTTCCGATCTCGCCAGACATCGTTTAACCCACTACCATAATTTCGATTTTTTTTTATTCCAACCATCACCCTGAAGAATACAGAACTTTTATATTGATCATTCAAATGCTTTATACTTTTTTGTTTTGTTTTGTAGAACTATCTTTTCTCTTCACAAGTGATCGCTATGATTTATTAAAAAAAAATGGAGTCTGGATATACGACCTTCAGAGTATAGACGAATTAAAGTGCTAAATATTTGTGATTTGAATTGCTAAGATACACGAACAACGCAATCAAAGTTGAATTTGTAACAAAATTGAATTATTAAAGTAAATGGCGCTCGATTCTAGAAACAGATCATTGCATTCGTCACAATATCGAGAACTGTATCTGGACTTCCGGTTACAAATAATGGAAATATAACAGGACTATATCGATACATGGTATTCTAGCGAATTGGGATCTTCTTAGAAAATACCGAGACACCAAATCTTTCCTTTGATATTCTTATTCGTAAGCATTCCATTTTCCTATTGCAGAATCCCTACACAATTCGAAGGGAAATTAAATAAAATAGTAATTGTTTCATTTACAAACTTTAGGCTGTACCTGAGGCATAACGGAAATGTGGCGGGAGAAAATGCAATTGATAGGATGACTTCCGGTTCCAGGTGAGGTTGTTACATTGACTTATCAATAATGTCCTTGAAAAAAAGGGTTAAATAATCTCTTTTCCCATCTGACAATCTATGGCACAATTTTGATTATATGACTAAACGTACTCGCTTTATTTTTTTAATCTATTAAATGGTGCTCAGGTTGGAGTTTTTAAGAAGTACAGACTTTATCTATGATTGAAAAATCGTTTGTTATTCTATGAAGATAGAAATCATTTCCCGAAGGGTTAACCTTACACCATGACGAGCTCAACGATACCTCTTTTTTATTTCTACGCCACTGCGTTTAGCGAAAAAGCGCGAAAAACAAAAAATCGATTTCAACACAAATTTTAAAATGAAGTTTCCCTCAATTTTCAAGCAAGCTATCAGGTCATCCCATAAGTTCTGTCCGAATTTTAACTTTTTGTTAAAATGAACGAAATTTAAAGAGTATTTTATAATGTCTAATGGAGCTGAACATTATTTTTATGTTTAGATGCATTTAAACTGATCAAATTTTATTTCAGAGAACAATAAAATTAAATTTTGTTTGATTTAAACCCTGCTAACATGGAAGTACCCAAGAATCATTTGAGGCACATAATGCTTTATGAGTTCAAGAAAGGAAACTCAGCAGCCGAAGCGGCTAGAAAGATTCACTCAGTTTATGGTGAGGAATATGTGAATGAAAGAACTTGCAGAAGATGGTATGCAAAATTCAGAGGTGGAAATTTCACCCTTGAAGATGAATATCGAACCGGACGTCCAGTTGAGTTTGATGAAAAGCTTCTTGAAGCAGCCCTTGAAGAAAATCCTGCTTTATCAGTTGTGGAATTTGCAGTGGTTCTCAGTTCAAACCATACAACTGTTCATCGCCATCTTCAACAACTTTGAAAAGTTCCTAAACTTGGAAAATGGTTGCTTAATGAATTGTCTGAAATCAACCTCAAATCCCGAGTTGACATCTGCTCTTCTCTCCATTCTCGCCAACTTGTTTCACCTTTTTTTGGATAGACTTGTGACTGGCAACGAAAAAATGATCTTCTATCGAAATTTTAAGCGTCGTAGACAGTAGCTTGGTAAAGAGGAAGGACCCCAGCCACAGCCGAGAAAGGAACTTCATGAGCAAAAGGTTTTTCTTTCAATCTGGTGGGATCACCAAGGAATAATCCACTTTGAATTCTTACCACCTAATGCAACAGTTAATGCTCAAATATACTGTCAGCAATTAGAGCGTTTGAACCAAGCTTTGAGGAAAAAGACCTGCTCTAGTGAATCAAAAAGAGGTGATGTTTCATCAGGACAATGCGCGACCCCACACAGCAAGAATCACGTTACAAAAAATCGAAGAACTTGGTTGGGAGAAAATTCCTCATCCACATTATTCTCCCGATCTTGCTCCTTCAGACTACCATTTGTTTCGTAGCTTACAGAATCATTTGGAAGAAACAGCTTTTGTAACACAGGAAGCGGTTAAAAATGACATTTGTGAGTTCTTCGAATCAAAGCCAAAAGAATTTTACAGTAATGGAATTAGTAAGCTTATTAATAGATGGAAGGAAGTCATAAATAATCAGGGAAAATACATTGTTGATTGAATCTGTAATTAAATGTAACATTTGGTCACTTGTTTTCTTTATTCAAAATTCGGACATAACTTATGGGATGACCTGATAATACAAACTTCAATCAGTTGTGGTCAATAATAAGTTGATTATTTAACAGTCATTTAACTTGATAACTAAGTCCAACCATATATTGAAAATCCGCGTAAATAGCGAAAAATGGCGGCTTTTAGTGGTTTCTTTCTTATTTTTTGTTGATGCTTCAACCAATTTTCATCAAACTTAACAATTGCTTTATAAATGTATCCTCTTTTATATCCCTGGTAGCACACTGAAAAACTGAATTTCAAAAACTCCAAAATAATTTGGGTCTGAAGTGGGTCTTTTTGTTGCCTGTTTTACCCCTTCATGTTCTTGGCTAACTTCGACTGAATAAATACAGATTACTTCTGTTATATCAGAAACTACATTAATTAAAAATGTTTTTTAATGAAAGTACTTTAAAGTAATTGAAGAAGATAAACTCTGTTACATCTAAACATGATGCTGTCTTTGCTCCATTCTAATTGATCGTTTTCTCTTATCGACCAGTTAGGTATGGCTGCTAGTTCGAAATAAAATTTAAAAAAAAAGAAAATCATTCTTCAAAAAATCCATTATTCATCAAATTTTGTTGTAGACCATAGTATCCATAAAATATCTTATTCATAAAAGCAATTAAAAGCATTTCTAATTAAATAAAGACTAAGTGATTTTTTTATTTTACGATTCAAACCAGATTTTTAGTAAGTGGCTCTCTGTTTAAAAAAATAATAATTGATGATTTAAATTCTTCAAGTTGTCTGTGCCTGACTAATATAAACGTTCAGCTGTAGAAACTGTATTTCTGGAAATTTCATAAAATTAAAATATATTTCGGGTAACAGATGTAAAAAAATACCAATATTTTCTAATAAAGATACTTTTTTTAAAATTAATTTCATTACTATGTGAATAAATCCTGAAAGTTTCATTAAAATCTAATAATTATTTGATTTTTGCAAACATTTGCAAATCAATGTTTTTCACCGCAAAAATGAGGCTAAAATGATGTATTTTAATTTGTGGTTCCCTGCTGACGCAAGAAAATCAAGATATTTTACCAAAATTTTGAAAGTTCTAGAAAGGATAAGAAATATAATTTAATACTCAAAATATACTTTGGCTTTTACTCTTCATAATGGCATAAATATTTTGACAAGTTTTTTTTTTTTAGGTTTGAGGCATTTTTTAATGTATGCTCATTTTTAGCTAATTTCACCTAATTAAATAGTGTGAAGATTGTCAGACAAAAATAAAAGAAAAAAAAGAAAAACAAAAATAAAAAAACTGATGACATTTGAAATTAATTTAAATCAAAGTAATGCACGATTTTCTTTTGTTGATTGACAAGTTTTTTCTCTTCGTCTTATTTTGATAAATATGAGAGCATAGACAATCAGAATTTTCTAACTGCTTTTAATTAAACCGTTTTTAAAGACAGTTCTCTGTTAATTTGGGAAATCTTCATATATTCCAGTGCTTAACGACTGGAATATCAGTTATCAGGGAGCAATTTGAGAGCTGGAATTGCTAATTTGGAGGGAGTAGCAGCAACATTGCTCGGTTCGAAACCTGTGCTACGAAAACGCATTCAGAAGTTGCTAATGTTAGTTCCTGGTTACTCCATGAGATAATTCGCTTAAGTTGACTCTTTAAGTTTTGAAGGTTTGACAGAAAACTTTTAAGTTAGCTTCTGAAGTTAGTTCTTGAGAGAAATCATGAAACTTGGTACTCACCGAAATCGTCTGATTAAAATCTGAAGATAGTTGCTGAGAGAATGTGTTTAAAACTCAATTCTTTAATATCATTGGCCAAAGGAAGAACCTGTTGTAAAAATTCCAAATCTCTATTGCAACTTAACAAGGACTAAAGATCCAGATAACTAACACAACCTCCCCCTTCTAATGATGACATTAAAACATAGAAGAAATAGCGCAGGACCTACCTAAGGAGCTTGTGTAAATAAATGACAGAACAGGGTTTATGATAGATAGAAATAAAATACAAAATATATTAAGAGCTACGAAGGACAGGAAATTGTGGAGAGCCTTGATCGCCAACGTTCCAAAGAGACACCCCACATATAAGAAGATGAAATTAGTTTGCGTAAATAGATAGCAGAACACGGTTTGGGAAAATGAAAAAAAGACAAAATTTATTAAGAGCTACGAAGGATAGGAAATTGTGGAGAGCCATGATCGCCAACGTTCTGAAGGGACACCACACATATAAGAAGTAGAATGAGTTTACGTAAATAGATAGCAGAACAGTTTGGGAGAAATAAAAAAAAGACAAAATTTATTAAGAGCTACGAAGGATAGGAGATTGTGGAAAGCCATGTTCACCAAAGTCTTGAAGGGACATGACACATAGAAGAATAAATGTTGACGATTTGCTTATTTTTGTGAAGTTATCTATGTGATATCAACCCAGACTTTCATCCCCTGATTCTGGCTGGAGACGTTTCGATTGGGACGACGAGGTATCTCTTCATATTTCAATAATAACAACTTGGAATGAGCAGTGCCACAGTTTGATTAGACTGCCATGCCGGTCCTGAGTGGTCTGC